TCACCCGAGTTTTGAAAGGTCGTAGAATGGTCTACCCCCTTTTTGCCAAAACGCCTCTAGGCGGGGGAAAAGGGCCTTTATTTCCCCCTACCCAAGAAAAAAAAAACCAAAGATCTCATTCTTCTAATTTTTTTTTTATAATTTTATTCGAATTTTTCCATATGTTTTTATTTTCTTTTTAACAGTAACTTATGGGTTTATGATGCCCATGTGTGAATTTATGCACGCTCGGCTTCATATTAAAACGGGTTTTTACTTTTATTAAACAGAGGACAACTCCGATTTGTCTACCAGGAACAAGTGAGTGTTTGAGCAGCCACATATCAGAACTGTGCGTTTCTGAGCAAGCACATCAAGGCTACCTCACGTTTGAGCTAGTGATTCTGACAGATCAGTCAATGTATGAGCAAGTAACACACTTCAGCAGTTCATGTCAAACCACACTAGCAAATGAAACTCATCAGAGAAGTGTGAGTTGCGTGTTATGAATTAGAGATTTGTGGAGATTAGTGCATGTAAATTGAATGTTTGAAATAGTGATTGTTGATAGTTATGTGTGTAAAGTGTATGTCAATTAGTAATTGTTGAGATTTGTGAATTTAAAATATATGTTTTTAATTAGCGATCGTTAGATTTATAAATATATAAATTACAAATGTATCAGCTTAAACGTGGACACTTACATCCTCTAATGAACGTAAAATTATGACAACAGAGACAAAATGCTTTAGAAGAGCTGGAGTTTCAAGGAAAGACAGAATGCGAAATCACGAAATCAAATGAATGCTAGGAATAAAGCCAGTCTTATAGGTCATCAAAGAACAGCAAATGAAGTGGTTTTGACACCTAACAAGAATGCTGTGGTACTATCTACCACAGCGAGCCACACTAAAAAGTTACAACGGGTATAGAGCGAGCGGAAGACCTCGGGAAATATGGAGTGATGGCATTAAGAACAGCCTTACAGAAATGAACATCAATCTTAATAGTACTCTTGAATGAGCTCATCAACGAACGTTACATCTCCTCCCAACACTTCACTGAGATACAAGGTGGAAGAGGAGAAGAATAAGATTTATAAATATTTGATGTATTCATGGTTTATATTATGCTGTTACATTGTGATTATTAAATATTTATCTAGAAAACTTAACTTGCTGGAATGCCTTGAAATGAGTAGTTATGCACAGGATAGTCATTGTGTTAGTTATGTACAGGATAGTCATTGTGTTAGTTATGCACAGGATAGTCATTGTGTTAGTTATGCACAGGATAGTCATTGTGTTAGTTATGCACAGGATAGTCATTGTGTTAGTTCTGCACAGGATAGTCATTGTGTTAGTTATGCACAGGATAGTCATTGTGTTAGTTGTGTACAGGATAGTCATTGTGTTAGTTATGCACAGGATAGTCATTGTGTTAGTTATGCACAGGATAGTCATTGTTTTAGTTATGCACAGGATAGTCATTGTGTTAGTTATGTACAGGATAGTCATTGTGTTAGTTATGTACAGGATAGTCATTGTGTTAGTTATGTACAGGATAGTCATTGTGTTAGTTATGTACAGGATAGTCATTGTGTTAGTTATGTACAGGATAGTCATTGTGTTAGTTATGTACAGGATAGTCATTGTGTTAGTTATGTACAGGATAGTCATTTGTTAGTTAGTCATTGTGTTAGTTATGTACAGGAAAGTCATTGTGTTTAGTTATGTACAGGATAGTCATTGTGTTCAGTTATGTACAGGATAGTCATTGTGTTAGTTATGCACAGGATAGTCATAGTGTTAGTTATGCACAAGCTAGTCATTGTGTCTAGTTTATGACAGGATAGTCATTGTGTTAGTTATGCACAAGATAGTCATTGTGTTAGTTATGTACAGGATAGTCATTGTGTTAGTTATGCACAGGATAGTCATTGTGTTAGTTATGCACAGGATAGTCATTGTGTTAGTTATGCACAGGATAGTCATTGTGTTAGTTATGTACAGGATAGTCATTGTGTTAGTTATGTACAGGATAGTCATTGTGTTAGTTATGCACAAGATAGTCATTGTGTTAGTTATGCACAGGATAGTCATTGTGTTAGTTATGCACAGGATAGTCATTGTGTTAGTTATGTGCAGGATAGTCATTGTGTTAGTTATGTGCTGGAAAGTCATTGTGTTAGTTATGCACAAGATAGTCATTGTGTTAGTTATGTACAGGATAGTCATTGTGTTAGTTATGCACAAGATAGTCATTGTGTTAGTTATGCACAAGATAGTCATTGTGTTAGTTATGTACAGGATAGTCATTGTGTTAGTTATGCACAAGATAGTCATTGTGTTAGTTATGCACAGGATAGTCATTGTGTTAGTTATGTACAGGATAGTCATTGTGTTAGTTATGCACAAGATAGTCATTGTGTTAGTTATGTACAGGATAGTCATTGTGTTAGTTATGCACAGGATAATCATTGTGTTAGTTATGCACAGGATAGTCATTGTGTTAGTTATGTACAGGATAGTCATTGTGTTAGTTATGTACAGGATAGTCATTGTGTTAGTTATGCACAAGATAGTCATTGTGTTAGTTATGCACAGGATAGCCATTGTGTTAGTTATGCACAAGATAGTCATTGTGTTAGTTATGCACAGGATAGTCATTGTGTTAGCTATGTACAGGATAGTCATTGTGTTAGTTATGCACAGGATAGTCATTGTGTTAGTTATGCACAGGATAGTCATTGTGTTAGTTATGCACAGGATAGTCATTGTGTTCTTATACAGAACATAGTAAACTACATTCATGGTTGTGGCCAGTTCTTGTATTGGTGTATTATAGTTTGTTTTAGGAACCAATTGGAATACTATGATGATCTCATAGTGTATGTGGCATTTAGTGCTTTACTTCTGCATTTCTTATTTCAGCTGAAGGACTTTTTGACTCTTTACAATGTCATCACTGAATATTGCTTCAGCAAATGTGTTTCAAATTTTAATGAACGCAGAGCATCGACAAATGAGGTTAGTGTGTACTTTGCTTGTGTATTTGTTTGTTTTCGTGAATTCTTTGTAGCATTATATAACCTATTAGTATTTTAGTAAATCTTCCTGTGCATTCATTATTGGTCTGAGATAGACACTTAGTTAGTTGAGTTATCATCATTGCACTCCGGACATGTCCATAGGTGCTCAGATCCTCCCCTCAGTATGAACCCTAACGTCCGATGGCTAATAGTACCTGTTCTATGTTGATTAACAAGTCGTCTGGTGTGCGTCTCATTTTTTGCTATGCCGATCTTAATTCCCAAGTTGCCATTCTGACGAGTGATGTGGATTCACTGCCCCCAAAGTCCACTATCCTTCCTATTTCTCTGAGGGCATTAATAATATCAGCATGGTCCATAGGCTGACCGTCTGTAGTGATAGCGAATCCAGCCAACCTATCAGCTCTTTCATTTCCATCGACTCCTATGTGTCCGAGGAACAAAAATAAAGGTCACTCCAAGCACCGTGGACTTCTGTAATGATTCAAGCCATTGTCTTCGCACTGAACCTGCCTGAGATAGACACTGTGTCTGCTAAGTCACCCCTGCCCTGCTTTTGATGCCTTTTGAATTATTTTCTGCTCTTTATTTAGACATATCCTCCAAGACTGTCATATTTCTTCCTATCTCTAGTAAATGCTGTCTCTTCTATAGTAGAGTCATACTAAATACAGCAAAAGACAGATTATAAAGCTCAGCTGAAGGAATAAAAACATGACCAGACTTTCAACCAGTGGAGTACTAAATATAATACAAATCATGACTAGAAAACACAATGACTAACAACAGAGCTTATAACATCCAAGATCAGCATCATATTTATCACTGTGGGGGTTCCAGGGCCCCACTTTGGAAGACAAGAAAATGACCCCTTTGCCTAACAAGCATGTCATAAAAGTTAACTAATTAGGGGTTTCCCTCTGAAGTCGGAGTGCATCTGTCTGAGAGGCAAGGAACCAACAGTCTGTTTACAAATAAATCAGATCTGTAAAACGAATGTGCACACAAAACCCACATTTTGGAACAATGCTAAAAGTCCAGAAGTGGATGAATAACCATAACCTTCCACTGGTGAACACAAAGAAGAATAGAAGAGAAAATCCTGCTTACATAATCACTTTTCTAGAATAGTGGGAGAGCTTTCTTTTATCTTTGCCTGGCTGAACTTTTTTTTTCTTTTCTTTACAGAGGACTTAGTGATATTAAGCTAACTAGTATGTGTTAACTCCTTTCACAGACCTCATGTGTAGATATCTGCACAGACAACTATGTTCAGTACAACCAGAGATTTATGTTCAACTTTGTTGACCATCAAGAAAGACGTAAACGAGACCTGGAGAGAATTGCAGTAGAAGAAGCAGCAAAGGCTGCTCAAGCTGCTCCGACAGAGCAGGTCACTCCAGCCCAAGAGCAGCAAATACAGAAGGTAGCCGAGCTGCTGGAAAACTTGAGTTCAGCATCTTCTCCAAGCTTGAAACTCTAGTTCAGCAGATGGTGCAAATTTATCTGCTAGCACATCGTTTGTGGAGCCATTGAAAGGAAGTTCATTAGCTACCCCAGATGTCACACATTCCGGGGAAACTATGGAGGTTGCTAACTCATGACATTAACTATAGCAGGTGAATTATTGTACAAGGGTATTAGAAGTTTTGTACTTTAGTATGAAGAAGGTAAGACATGTACCTAGATATTGGTGTGAGTTTCAGCACTCTGCCTATTCACTCCTTAAAATGATGCACTTCTACTATCTGTTCTTTACCTTCCTGAAAACCTAAGATTAAAGCTATTCTTGTGCCCAGAACTATGACTTCAGTTCAAAAATGATGTACTGGTTAGAAAAAATATCTACAAAGTGGTTTCATTTTGTTTGGAACCGAAGAAATGATTGGTGTCAAGTCCAATAAGTACAATGGATATGGTTGTTATTAATAACCATGATTTCAATACAGTAATGGTTCTCGGCACAGACAAAGGAATTCTACAATATCAGGGAGGTAAAGAGGAAATGGAGTTAAATTCATCCCTTGATGGGTGAACACATAGAGGAGGAATAACATTCATACCAGTCTCAATCTGTGCGCCTGGGTGCATTTCTACTAACGTGCACAACTTTTTAAATGTCTTCTTATGAGAAAGTTATTCTTCTCTTGTAATCATTCCTGTGAAAGACAGACAGAAAAAAAGTGGTGGTAGAACAGTTTTCAAATTATAACCAGCATGTAGATTTCTTTCAGTCTGTAGTGAGGCAGATTTCTAAAAATTAACCTGGTCTTCCAACTTTCGTACCTGGGAAATAATTACTGTTGACTACTGCACTCCTCTAGTGTTGATTTGTCTGTAGCCAGATCAATTCAAGGTATGAAACATCTCGTACTATTACCGTACTTTAGACTAGCGGTTCTCAACCTATGTGTAGCTACCCTTTTTTTGGGTCGAATGACCTTTCACAGGGGTCGCCAAAGACCATCGCAAAATACAAATTCATTGAAGTTATGAAATAGTGACAAAAATAGTTGTATTGCCACAACATGAGGAACTGTATTAAAGGGTCGCGACATTAGGAAGGTTAAGAACCACTGCTTTAGACTAAGATGCTTTTGATTGTTGAAATCTTTTTGGGGAAAAAATAATATATTAAACATTTATCACAAAATTGAACTGACTTTTAAAATCCTACGACACTTAATTGAACTTTCATTGCCCAATCTGTCATGGTCCTCCTTGTCTTCATATGTAAGATGGTTTTAATTGCTGTCACGTGTGTTACTTATACTGCACTTGAATGATTCAACAGAAATGTCATTTTCTGATGTCATGAGAACTCAGCCTATGCCATAATCAAGCAGAAACCATTTACTAGTAACATTTCTCTGCCAGTTGAACTCAATCTTCACATTCTGTGAAACATTTTCCATGGCACAGGAACAATGATTCTTTTTCAAGACTGGTGGGAAAGAGTTTTTAATTCAGACACCAGGAACTGGATATCAGTTTTGAGTAAGAGACGCATCTGAAGTTATTTCTAGAGAAAACAATAATCCATTAGCTTATAAAATATTGTGCTCACTTTGTCGATATAATGATACATTACAAAGGGCTGACCATAAGAATTTACTCTGACTATGAAGGGGTAACAGGAGAAATTGAAACTAGGAAAAATAAAGCCTCTCACATTTGCATTGTACATGAGAAGTACACATGTGAAGTGTGCAATTTTTGCTTTATACATAAATAAAAATAATAAACCATGTTAAAGTTTCAGTTAGTAAGGAGCTTTTATCTTGTGGGCTACAACATTTATCATCAGTCATGTTTCATATCAGCTTAAAAATTTTTTAAAAATATTTTTAGCCAAATTTGGGTAAATGTAAAATATTTATCAAACATCTGAAACAAATAATGTAACAGAGCTTATAGTTACAAGTCAGTCTGTTTTGAAGTTTTGTTAAGTCTTTTTTCTTTCTGAGATTTGGTAAAGTATGGGTATTTACCTACATATTATTTATGTCTGTGTACCCAAGATTCATGATGGAAGAGTTTTGAGTTTTACATTTGAAATAAAACAAAAATACAATAAAGAGATTGTGGGTATTCTACCATGTCTGGTTTTGATTCTTTTTTTTTTTTAAAGGTACATTTACCCAGAGGGGAGCCACCATGGTGTAGTGGCTAGATGCTCTTCTGTGGTAGGTCATAGATTCAGGTCCTGGTGGAGCTAGACTTTTTTTTTTTTTTAAATGACTCCAAGCTCAACCAGCCTCAAATGGGTACCAGGTACAGTCCTGGGAAATAGAGGCACCCAGTATGAAGCTGATCTATAATAAAACGGGTTTAGCCTTATATGCCCAATAAGCCTGAAGGCGTGGAAAAGGATCCCTTTTAAATTTACCTGGAAAGCCAGACACTTAATTAATAGAACAGCATAAAACAATTGGGTTGCCGTGAAAATATCTGTGCTAAAAAACTGTCTCACTAGATCTGAACCCAGCACTACTTGAGTTAGAGTTAGTCACCACATACCTAAACCACTCTGACCTAGATATCAAGGGAGAGAAATACTTTCTAGGGTATAATTTCTTTGAAAGGAAAAATATATGCCAAAATAAAACCTGAGTTGTTAAAAAAAAACAAAAAAAAACTGGGTACATAGCATGTAACCTCAAATTCTCAGAACTCGGAAAGGAGGGGGGGGGGGCGCTCATTACTGAAAGTATTCACCACTTTAGGATATAGGGTTGCATGGCTAGTGCAGTCACCAACAACATCAAAACATTCATCACCTTACACAGGATTTGAACGCAGGTCTCCTGAATGAAAGCACAGTGTTCTTACTCCTATATGTTACCCAATTATAAAAGTTGTGGAAATATCATACCAGAACTTCTCACTTATAAATTACTCTTACATTAATAGGTCGCCCCCGGTTGGGTTTCCGCCTCCTGTTTGGGTAGTTGTGGTGGTGGATTGGGGTGGAAAAGGGGGGAGGGGGGGGGGGTTTTAGAACAAACCAACTGCCTCTTAGCAAGGATATTGTAAAATTAAGTTTTTGCTGAAATCATATTAAATTGATTGCCCAGCATAGAACGGAATGGAACAATAAACTGCGAGCCCTACGTGATGTAGGATGGCACAAAAGCATGATGATGATTACCTCTTTCAAAATGACTAGTGAGAGATTTTTGATACTTTGCCACTGTGCAATGTATCCTATAACTTATTACTCTTGCAGTGTGTATTGAGCTTCTTTGAAAGTCATGCACTTTGTGAATTTACACAGTGAGTTTGACTTTTATTCTGAACCTGCTAGTGCAGTTTGTGGCTTAGAGGTTAATAATCACTTTTCACAATCCTCCACACACCAGGTTAAAATTACCCTGATGGGCGGTTTATTAAGAGATTATTTTCTTGGCTTTTGAATAGTGTATGAGGGTCACGATAGAAGAGGTCAGAGCTTCACTGTGTAATATTCTCAGTGACAGCAGTCAGTGTACATATCAGCTGCAGCTAATCTTCGTTGAGTTGTTGTGTGTCCTTTACAGAACATTGCAGAACCAACCCCCAGCAATTTTATGCTGTTTGTGATTTTGCTAGGCAATTTTATGTTTAGTAGTTTGCTGCTGCTTTCTGAAAGGTCAGCTCTCGATACCGCTGTCAATACCAGTGCAAGGCGGTCTGCTGTCAGATCACCTGCAGCTGGGAGAGAACCCAGTACTTAGGCATTACAAATTGCATTCGCAACGCCTAAGCCACAGAGCTGATTGTAGAGACAAGATAAGATTGTAGGATCCTGCTAAGACCATTTCATGGAACAAAAAAACCCATTAGTATAAGATATGAAGCTTTATATGTGACCATTTTACTTAGAATTTATCAGAATACTCAACCAAGCAGACGTGTGGTATCTCTTGGCTGTTTGCACACCTCTAGATACTGAGATGTGTATAAACAATACCCACAGTAATATATCTACTTCTGACTTCTGTTTCTCTAAGAAGCATCACTATCAATCACTTTCCCTCGGTTTGCAATCTCCAACTGCATGTATTAATTCTTGAGACTATTGAACTGATGAGATGAGTTTATGAGGACCAATGTTTATTAAATTCTTCTTCTTTGCGTTCACTGGCTGTAAACTCTGGCAGAAAGTTTTGGTTGTTTGCCCACTTATGGACTTTAGTCTTGTTCTAGAACTTGGGTTTTGTGTGCCACATCCATCTTTAGAAATGTGGGATATTTGTGTGCAGACTATTGGTTTCTCACATCTCAGACAGATGCACTTCCAGCTTCGAAGGAAACCCATAATTAGTCGACTCTTACCATATGCTTTTTAAGGAGGCAGTGTGTCTATTCCCCTCCTCCCCCCCCCACCCCCTTTCTCCCTCAGAAAGGGCCCTCAACCAAAAAAGGAAGTTTAATCAATTCAACATCATATTCATCTGCCCTCATTTTCACAGTCAGACATCATCAGTCAAAACGTATCTGTGCTCTGACTTTGGCAGTGAGTTTCCATTGAGAACAGAAATTTAACGTCTCAGACCAGCTACATCTTCAGTCTTTTCCACACCAGTTAGAATTGTGAACACCACCAGAGGCCTGAGATAAATTATGGTCCCCATAAATCACCACCCGATGCATGAGATAAACGAAGGTCCCCATAAATCTGTCTACCATTTCAATTGTTTTAACAGCCTTTTTTTTCTTCCAAGTTTGAAACATATTTTAATGTTCACCTGTGGCTTCATGCTGCTTACCTGGCAACTTTCACTACTTAAACAAAATGGCAGGTTATTTATTGCCTGCTGACCGGGCAGTGTTGAAATTTGGCCAAATCATAGACATATGGTACCTGGTCTGGATCATATTTTTTTTCTCTTCATGGATGGCATTTTTATTTTGGCCATTAAAAAAAGCAAATTATTATTTAATTGCCAAACTTTGTACATGTGAAAAGTTTTCTACATGTGTGTACCGTCTAATTCCAGCATCTTATCCTCACCTCTTGATGTTCTAGGATGCAGTTATCAACATTCACTGTGATGTGTGTGTGTGTGTGAATGAGTATAAACAATTCTGTGCACCCACACACATGCACACACACACACAACAACAACAACAACAATATGCTGCATCAGCTCCGCAGATTTTTAGATGTGACCAGGTCTCCCAGGTTGACCCAGCCTTCTTTTTCACTTCGTCTTCTATCCCAGGTTGACCCAGCCTTCTTTTTCACTTGGTCTTTTATCCCAGGTTGACCCAGCCTTCTTTTTCACTTGGTCTTTTATCCCAGGTTGACCCAGCCTTCTTTTTCACTTCGTCTTTTATCCCAGGTTGACCCAGCCTTCTTTTTCACTTTGTCTTTTATCCCAGGTTGACCCAGCCTTCTTTTTCACTTGGTCTTTTATCCCAGGTTGACCCAGCCTTCTTTTTCACTTGGTTTTTTATCCCAGGTTGACCCAGCCTTCTTTTTCACTTTGTCTTTTATCCCAGGTTGACCCAGCCTTCTTTTTCACTTGGTCTTTTATCCCAGGTTGACCCAGCCTTCTTTTTCACTTGGTTTTTTTGGTGTTTTTATCCAGGTTGACCCAGCCTTCTTTTTCACTTTGTCTTTTATCCTAGGTTGACCCAGCCTTCTTTTTCACTTTGTCTTTTATCCCAGGTTGACCCAGCCTTCTTTTTCACTTTGTTTTTTATCACTTTCGTTGTCAAGGGAGATAATGTTTTGCTTCTTGCTGTTCTGGCTGCCTCAACAACAGACACATTGTGTGTAGTAGAGTTTCTCTGATGTTATCTTTCCAACTTGTTCTTGGTTTACCTTGTGCTGTACATCCTTCTTCTCTTTTCTTCTTCTTCTGCGTTCATCCGAAGATGTAATTGCGTTGTGTCCGTTTACAGCATGGCTGCGATATTTGCACCTTTTGGCCAACACATCCGACTTCTGCGGGCATTTGTTGACCGGGTTAGCCTTCCTGGTGACCTTCTTCTCTTTTTATGTATGCCCTTCATGTTACTTAATTTCACACTACATCACCAGTCATTCGTTAGCAAGTCATATAATTTGAAACCACCATTCCTGCATAACAATTACTATTCATATGTTAATAATTCAGATATACATTGCACTCTATTCACAACTATCATTCAATCATTAACTTAAATATAAATGTACATTTTCAAAATCTGCTTAGCTCATTTATTACACTAGGTCATCCCCATGTGGGATACAATTTTTAGTTATTTAAAGCCCCACCATGGCTTTTGCTGGGGGCTAAAAGCAAAATTAGTAGCTGCTGCTGTGACCCAACCCCACGACACGTATAGTTACAGGATGATGATGATGAATTTGAAAATTTAGGGTTAATTTCCAGTTCAGATGGAAGATAGATAGGCAAATCAAGATATGATGAAGCCTAGGACTGAAGATAAAACAAATTAATTGTTTGGCCATTTGATAAGAATGCCCTACTAGCTACCATACTGAAGAAATATAATGAGCACAGAGCATGGGAAATATGGAACAACTGCATCAATAACAACTGTAGAGAAATTAAGACCAACTAATACTACACATTAGAAATAGCACATTAAAAAAAAAAAGTAAAGGAATATTTTCCATGACTTTAGGGGTATTAGGCATACAGGGCTAGACCTATATTTTATAGACCAATCAGAACACGATGAGTGATGCGGTCAGCCTCACACAGGCCGCCTTTACTTTACTGGACTCCACCTGGTACCTATTCAAGGCTGGGTTAGCCTGCGAGCCAAAGTCATTAAAAAAAAAAAGAAAAATTCTGGTACCATCAAGACCTAAATGATCTTTCAATCAGCAGGGGAGCATCTAGCGGATACACCATGGCGGCTAGAAACCACATAGATGATCCTTAAATATTTATCCAAGACTTTGCTAAAATAATTGGAGAAAGAGAAGAAGAAGAGACTGAATGCTTTTAAACCATATATGGATTGCGATTACACCCAGTATGCAAAAGAGACTATATAAAATAAATCTGTTCATAGATCTCATCATATTAAGCATCTAGTGAGCCAGAAAAGAACATCTCTAGTTTTTGCCCCTAACATGGTTTAGCTAAGGTGACTAGCTTCCTTCTTAATACTCTGCATTTCCAGAGTAATTTATGATATAGCTGGGTAGTCCTCAAAGTGTCATGTTTTTTGCTCCATAGTTGTGCATGCACATCCATTTTACATATCTGGCTATCCACTTCAATATTTGTTACATTATTTGTGGCTGGATGAACTAGAATCTATTTATGCAATGGAACAGAAACTAAGCTTTTGTACTTATCTAAGTTGAACTTTTGTACTTATTCAAGTTGAACTTTTGTACTTATTTAAGAATCATCACCAAGCTCAAATTCATCATTGCAATGAAATATGTTTAAATGACTGGCTTTTCTTAGCTCAATAACAATGACTGGTTGCAATTCCATATGCCTGTCTAGGCATCCAAGCAAGTTGTCTTCTTTTAATTTCTTTAAAAACACTCTTTGCTCTTCGTGCACTTTAACAGTACTCAAGTACTTTGATTCCATAAAACTGGAAAAATGTTACTATCCACTTCTACAGTTGTTTGTTTAATGAGGCAGAAAAGATTAGAATTCTTTACGTATGTAACAGAACAATAGTTGAGTTCTTATAATCATATGAGAATCACAATCACCTAAGCTGAAATTTATTTTAATAAAACATGTTTGAAAGGTCTTAAAACTATTTTTAAAATCTGGCTTCCCTCAGTATTGCTGATGCTGACTGCACAAACTTAAACCACTAGTCTGTATTTTGTTCATTCAACATACATTACTAGCAAAAGTGCAAAAGGCTTCATATATATCAGCATATATTTTTAAAAATTCACAAAAACATACCTGATTCTCTTTTTTTTTTAACAGCTCAAAAACCGACCAAAGAAAATACACTCTAAATAAGATGCAAAAATAAATTAAACTGCAAGAGTATTCACAAAATTATGTTCAATGTAAAACAAACTATAAATCTGTGCAGCTGAATTGATACAAATTAATTAATTACATCAGCTAAATATATAAATGTTTGTTCATTATTATATATTATTTTGTTTTCTCTTATTTACTTTTCGCTGTCATGCTTCTCATACTTTGCTTTAAATTATGCTGAGTGTGACAACAGCATGACATAATCAATGTTATTTCACAGAATGTTTGCCAAATAGATATATAAATCTAACAGATGCTACATAAAAAATCTTGATAAATCACAACCGTACAGTTTCTGTGGTCACAGTGAGAGGTTTTGGTTTCCGTTTCACAGACAGGCGTCTGAGCACATTTCCTCTGCGAATTTCATTTACCAGGTTGTCAACAATTTTGGCGTCTGCTTGTGTTGCGATACCTGGCAACTTGCGGGCTCCAGGGATGGCCACAGGATCCTTCTGAGAGGTCTGGGCGCCTGTAAGATATAAACAGAAATATGTGTGGGTTTAGTCATTGGGTCAAGAGAAGTTGATAATAAAGGAATGGCTAGCAAGTTGCCTGTCAGCTCAATGTCAATGTTGTCTGAATCTCCATTGTTGCAAATTCTATTAGACTTCTTCAGTATTCTGAGCCCATGAAGTTTACTGCCACAGAAATTATCCACCTCCATTAATCTTCTTGACTGGCTATCTCTTTCCAGTTGCTGAGTTCAAGAGTTTGTAGGTCTACCTTAATATTATCTCTTTACAATCTTCTTGGTCTGCCTCCTGGCCTACTCCCTTGCAGTTCTATTGTCTACACAGTTTTTATCTGGGTACTTTGCCATTTTCTACCTATGACCTAACCATTTCAGTCTACTAGCCCGCATCATGCCAGTAATTAGTGGTGATTTAATTTAACCTTTGTGTATTTCATTGTTGCTTCTCACTCTCCATTAGATGTTTAATGTATAATATTTAATGTATATACGATTTTCGCTCTGTGGCATGAGGCGTCATCACAAAATAATTCTCTTTCAGCAGCTCCAGGTGCATTTTGACCAATCACTGTCACTTCAGGAAATATGAGCCAGCAGTTCCAGACTTTGATACTGAACCAAAATTATCTGGCTTTGATTTCCCCATGTGGGTTCCAGGGTCCCATTTGGGGGGTGGGCGGCAGGGGTGAAGAGGCGGGGGTTGGGGAAACAGACCCACTACCCCAAGTAAAAAAAGAAGATGGTAACAATCAACTAAACAGAAGTGTTTCTTTGAGGTCTGAGAAAGGAATCAACAGTCAACATACAAATAAGCCAGATCTGTAAAATGGATGTACAAATAAGTTATGTGAAAACAAATATATTAAAGATACCGACAAAAGATCATGTAGATGCCATGCCAGAGAATACACCAAATAATATTAAAGGACCATTTTGCCTACCTGGGTAGCAATTTTGACTCTCAAGGAGATTCAACAAAGGAAATTGATATGCATTGGCAAAACAACAACAGTCTTTGAAGCATTAACAAAATATGGAGCTCCAAGTTGTACAGCTTGAAGGCCAAACTATGAATCTTCAGTTCTAACGTTATTTCAGTTCTAAGATATGCTAGTGAAAGTTGGAGAACCATCAAAGATATGGAACGAAAGTCAAATCTGAAAATAAATGTCTGACAAAAATCATAACCGTAAAATGGAATGAATTCAAACAGAGTAAGGAGAACAGAGAAATGTTTGCACAATTACCTGTATCGACTACAATAAGAAAAAGAAGGGGGAGATATTTTGGGCACACTCTGTGACATAATGAGCAAAGAATTACAAAACAAGCACTGAAATGGGAAACAAATGGTCCGAGAAAAAGAGGATGGCCAAGAGAAACATTAAGAAGAAAATTATTACGAAAGACCAAAAAAAAATGCTGGGCTGAACTCGATGTCAGATATCAAGAGAGTTACATGGAATAGAGTGGAGTAGGGGAATCAGATACGAGCCCTATGTGACATCTAAGGGCGCACAAAGGTTGATGATGTGATGAATCCTAAGAAGAAGATAGGCTTGATGGATGTTTCGTTGCATGTGTAATGTATTTTTTCATCATTTTTAATTCCTTGAAACCTTCTTACAAGATGTCAACATATTACATACTGCTAAAATATTGATTCATCAGAAAACACAATATTTCTTCCACTGCTCTTCAATTCAATGTCATAATTACAAACAAATTTCATGTTGTTTTTTTTCTTTCTAACTTTGTATGTTAATCTTGGCTGTCAAGCACTCTTTCAGACTGATATTCATTAATTCAGCTCTTGACTCTAATTTCCTGCTTATACTGCTGCTTACACCGCTGCTTACACCTGATTAACCTGCTTTCAACTTTTCTGGCCAGTTTTTTCCTATAAGAGTTATTCTAGTACCCTCTAATAAAAAAATTTATTTGAAGAATTTTGTAAATAACAAAAATCACTTACTTTTCCTTCTTTCCAACAGTTCTTCATGGGCTTTCTTCCTCATTTCTGCTTTCTCTGCTTGTTGTCGCCAAGATTCTAGTTCCTATGGAAATATTGACAGAACCACAGTAAGTAAACATGTCAACAATTCTTGTTTCACCATTGGCACCTGAGGCATACGGATACTAGACTTGTATGTTTTTAGACAATCGGCACTCAGCAGGGGATGTTTTCAACATTATGCTAGCCACCAGTACTTCCCATGACATTACCTGGAGGTACAAATGTTAGTTTTTGTGGTCCCACTTTTTTGTGAGCTCAAAGATCAAATTCTATAGTAATCTTAAGCCAAACTCGTGAGCCAGTTGAAAAAAAAAAATGGCTGGTTGGCCCATGTTTGTCCACCCCTGCCCTAAAGCCACAGTGGTCACAAGAAAAAAAAATCACTTAATTTTGGGGAGTTGAACAAGTTACAGCTTTGATAGGCCATAAACTGCCACTAAACTGCCTAACATTTCAAATTATGCTGTATAAGCAGGGGTGTCTTTGAGCCTAAGGATATCTGTGTAGCTTTAGGATTTAATTTTTGCTGTCAACGAAAAATCTAACCTTACCGAAGACTCAAAACCTGGGTCTCTCACATGAGAGCCAAGCATTGCTAACCATTTGGCCAGCTGCTCCTCTTTGGTAGGCAAGCAGTTCAAATAGAATATATAAATTAACATTTCTCAAATATGCTCATAGGTTTAAATCCCCATTAAAGTGGATTTGTAAAAAATAACATGGGCAGCTACATTTTCCCTATCTAAACTGGGTGCTAGGAAATGTTTGAATAAAGGTTGCTAAAATGATGTGGTTCACATAACCCATCAAATGCTGTTTGGTCTGTAAAAATATGGGGCAAGAAGAATATACTCAATTTATACCTACATACATAAATGGGTCCTTTAACTCTTCTAGTACCGAGCTATGTACCATACACATACTGTTAGCCTTGTGCCATGATGTTGATCCATCGTCTAAACCTAAACTTGTCTATGGTCTAGGTGACCAGAAGAGCAAGAACCAGGACCTTACTTTTCCCTCAACATCCAAAGTCGTAAATGAGGACGGCAAAGGAAGAATGTGAAGAAGAAGTCTTATCAATAAGTCATGGACATTTTACTTGCCTGTTGGCATGCTTTGACCCGGTCACAAAATTCTCGGAATGCTCCAAGGAACTCTTCCAAATTAAAGGTGTTCTGATTCTCACAGTAGTGCTCTGCCAGTTTTGTGGTTTGCTTGGCAAGACGATCCAGTGTGTCATCAATGTCTGACAGATCACCATCAGCCTCCTGGGTAAACAACATTCTCAGTGATACATTTTCACATCACTTAAATTTTGGAGACTTGATTTTTAGATAAAGATACTGTAATGTGGTGACTGCATGTAGATTTAGGCAAATTTTTTGTAATATGGAGACTGTGTTCAGATGCAGGAAAGGTAACTGTAATGTAGTGATTGAATTCAGGCATAAGTAAAATTACTGTAATGTGATGACTGAGTCCAGATATAAGTAAAGTTATTGTTATGTGGTGACTGAGTCCAGATATATGTAAAGCTATTGTAATGTGATGACTGAGTTCAGATATGAGTAAATATATATATGATATAATATGCTTCAGAAAAATTCTTGGCATATCATACAGAGACCACATTACAAACAAAGAGGTTCACCATAAAATTATACAGCACACTGGCAACTATGAACCTCTTTTAACTACAGTGAAAAGGTGAAAAATACAATGGTATAGACGTGTAATAAGATCTAACAGCCTCTCAAAAACAATACTGCAGGGCTTAGTAGAGGGAAAGAGGAGAAGAGGCAGATCAAGAAAGACATGGTTACAGAACCGGACTGACTGAACAGGCATCAGGCATGCAACCACGAAGTCCATCACAACTGACGGCCGAAGGTGAAGAGAGCTGATGAGACAGTCAACAGAAACAGTCACAGTAGAATTGATCCAGAACACCAAAGACCGAGATCTGTGGCGACGCATGAACGCCTATGACAGCTGGCAAGGCACTTGATGATGATGATTAAGTTAATGTGATATGCTGACGGAGTCTCTTAATTCAGGAATTCAAAGTTTAAGACATAATCCCAAATTACATAATAAAGGTTTTGGCTAGAACGCATTTGTCAGCATTTAACACACAGAAAGTGATAAAAATGTAAAAGAATTCACAAATAATTTAGTTCTTTGGTGAAGTCTGTTAAAATCTCCATCCACACTTTAAAAGTAAACCTGCTGCTGCTACTACTACTACCACCATTACTACTGCCTTTTCTAATACTAAAGCTGCTGCTGCTGTTATTACTACTTCTGCTCTTTATAGTACTACTGCTGCTACTACTACTGTTACTATTACTACTACTGCCAATTAATGTTACTATTATTACTGCTTTTATTATGATTTCTCTACTATTACTACTACTACTACTACAACTGCTAGTACTAAAACTACTACTACTACAACAACAACTACTACTACTACTACTACTCTTTTTCTAGTACTACTGCTGCTACTACTACTGTTACTATTACTACTACTGCCAATTAATGTTACTATTATTACTGCTTTTATTATGATTTCTCTACTATTACTACTACTACTACTACAACTGCTAGTACTACAACTACTACTACTACAACAACAACTACTACTACTACTACTACTCTTTTTCTAGTACTACTGCTGCTACTACTACTGTTACTATTACTACTACTGCCAATTAATGTTACTATTATTACTGCTTTTATTATGATTTCTCTACTATTACTACTACTACTACTACAACTGCTAGTACTACAACTACTACTACAACAACAACAACTACTACTACTACTACTACTACTACTACTACTACTACTGCTGCTACTACTACTACTACTACTACTACTACTACTACTACTACTACTACTACTACTACTACTACTACTACTACTACTACTACTACTACTACTACTACTACTACTACTACTGCTACTACTACTACTACTAATGCCGCTGCTACTACTACTGTTACGCAACAAATGCTGCTGCTACAATTCATAATGTGTTACGAACCTCTAGGAATTCTCCAAACTGAGACTTAATTTCCTCATCTGCACTTGCTGCCAGCTGTGCTTGCAGTCTCTTCACTGTATTCTTAATCTGGATAAACTCTGTTTTTACAGCTTCCAAAGAAAATCTGAACATTACAAATGAATAAATTAGATATTAGACTAGTACTGATACGAATCATACAATTATTAAAGAGCAACAAATGAGATGGTGTGACCATCTGGTAATGTGGCTACCTTTACTTACCACCACGGGCATTCAAACAGATGACTGCCAGGTCAGCAGGCAAGGATACAAGTCACTGCGTTACACCTAATTTATATTCTCTAATATGTTTAAACCACCTTTGGTCACTGGCATCATGAGAGCTAATAGACTGAAACTGCTGGGGCCTATTGAGAGAATGTCAGATGACAGAGAGGTAAATACTTTATACACAAGAGACCTTAATGGCCGTAGACCACGAGGCCGACCAAGAAGAGAGACCTGTAAACACCAACTGGAAAGAGAAGGCCAACCAGAGAGATGAATGGAGGCAGGTGATATCTGCAGCAATGAACCTCAAGGGCTCGGAATGCTGAAGAAGAAGAAGAAGAATATGTAGATGTAGGTAGTAAAAATCACCAACATTTGATATTTAATTATTCTTAGCAATTAGGGATAAGAAAAAATACTGACATTCAGTATCTGATTAAAGCAGTGGCTCTCAACCTTCCTACCACCGTGACCCTTTAACACAGTTCCTCACGTTGTGGTGATCCCCAACAACAACAAAACAATACAATACAATTTTTTTGTTGCTACTTTATAACTTCAGTGAATTTGTTTTTTTCCAGTGGTCTTAGGCGACCCCTGCAAAGGGGTCATTAAACCCCAAAAGGGTCGCCACCCACAAGTTAAGAACCACAGGAATAAAGACAGCTGAAGCAATAAGAGAAATGAGTAGATAACATCTGTATCAACAGCTACAATAGTAACTCCCCCCCCCCCCCTCACCCCTCAAAAAGGTCGCTACACTGGACAAATCCTAAAAAGAAGCAAGCAGAAAATCTCTAGACGGGCACTGAAAAATGAAACAAATGGACTGATGATGATGATGATGACGATGCTAGTTTAGGTTTCACAACATTATATGGGGATGACTCATACACATAATTTCTTGGAAATTGAAAAACTTTGACCATATTAAGAGCCGTTATCATGGGAAGAAAAAGCAGGGAAATACCAACATGACACTGGGCACAAGATGTCAAGGAAATCATGCACATGACTGTTTAATGGAGTTGGCAAGAAATCGAGTGGCTTTCCTGAATGCCATGATGAAAGCCAAGTTCCTAAATGATGATAAAGCTATCAAGTAAAGAAAAGGTCCCAGTACACATCAGGAATATGAGGCCTATATCGATAGACTGTAAGCACTCAGTCAATGATATGGTCAAAATTACGCTGACCTCTGGGGGAAAAAAGAATAGACCTACTGCCCCCAACAAGCATGTCATACAAGGCGACTAATTTTGAGCATTTCCTTTGAAGTCAGAGTGCATCGGCATTAGTGGCAAAGAGCCAACAGTCTGCATTTAAAAAAAGGTAGATCTGTAAAATGGATGTACATGCAAAACTCAAATTCTGGAACAAGTCTGAAGTCCGGAAGTGGATGAACAACAAGAACTTTATACTGGAGTTTACAGACAGTGAATATGAAGAAGAAGAAGGCTGTGTAAGGCAAGGGGACCTAGAGGATTTAGGACTGTATGGCTAATGCAGTCACCAAAGACTGCAGGCTAAGATTGTATTTTGGCCCCAGTCAAAAAAAACAATCAATCACCTTTCTGTGAATTTAAACATGGGTCTCCTGAATGAGAGTCCACGGTTCTTAACCATTTGGTCAGCCGCTCTTTCTTGATGTAAAGAACATCACTAAATTATAAAATCAGGGGAGTGTAACAGGTGGTGTTGGTAGGGAGGCATCTCTTCTCTTCTTCACTTCCTCTTTTACCGCTGTGGGTGTCGAGGGAGATATAAGGTTCTGTTTCTAGCTCTTATGGCTGCCTCGACCATAGGCACATCGTGCTGTTGTAGAGTTTGTCTGATGTTATCCATCCATCTTGTTCTTGGTCTACCCCGTGCTCTACGTCCTTCTTCTCTTCCTATGTATGCTTTGTATGGTATGGTGTCACAAGGCATTCTCTCTAAGTGGGCAAACCATTTCACTTGCTGTCTTTGTATGTAATCCAGAATAGGTTCTGTGCCGACTTGTTCTCTTATGATCTCATTTCTGATCTTATCTCTTATGGTCACTCCTACAGCCCTTCTCAGACATCTCATTTCCGTGGTTACTAATTTTCTTTTATGGTTTGTTGTGAGTGACCATGTCTGGCACTGGTAGCACAGAGTTGGAATAAATATGCTTTGAATAAGATGTCTCTTTGTGCTGATTGGGATTGTCTTATGCTGTAAGAGGGGGGCTAGCTGTCCCAATACTTGGTTTGCTTTACTACACCTAATGTCAATTTCTTTATCCAATTTCCCATCTTCGGTAAATGTAGTTCCCAGATATTTAAACTCAGATGCCTGTTTAATGCCTTTGTATTCTATTGTTATGTTTAGATCTGTCTTCTTTTTTCCTATTGACATTACTTCTGTCTTTTCAGTGTTGATTCTCATATTATTTGTTTTACATTCTTTATTCATGGATGTTAGATGTTGTTGCAATTTCATGGCTGTATCTGCTATCAAGGCCTGGTCATCTGCAAAGAGTAATTCGTTGATCTTACTAAGATCTTCATTCATGAGCTTGGCATTCTTGCATATACTGTCGATGTAGTTAATAAACAGCAGTGGTGATAAGACACACCCCTGTCTTACTCCAGATGTCACTGTGAAAGGATGAGATGTTCCCTGATTTATTCTAACTACACTTCTACAATCCCTGTATAAACTTTTGCACACTTCGATGAGGTGTTCGCTTACTCCATATCTTGCCATTATTTTCCATAATAATTGTCTGTCGACTCTGTCAAATGCCTTCTCCTGGTCTACGAAAGCGACAAATAAGTTCTTATTGTATTCAATGTTCTTTTCTATTAACTGTTTAAGTGTGAAGATTGCATCTGTGCAGCTTCTATTTCTCCTGAATCCCATCTGTTCTTCTGCCAGCTGTGGTTCTATCACTGGTCTCAGTCTTGTTTCTATTATCTTGGCATACATTTTGCCAACATGGCTTAAAAGAGAGATGCCTTGATATTGACCGCATTCTCGTTTGCTTCCTTTGTTCTTCCACAATGGTATAACTATTGCATGTTGCCAATCAATAGGGGCCGTTTGTTGTACCCATGCTGCATTGAATGTTCTGTGAAGCCATCTGATGCTGCTTTCACCTGCTGCTTGAATTATTTCTGTTGGTAATCTATCAGCTCCTGGTGCTTTATATTTGGGAGACTGTTTAATGACTTTTTCTATTTCATCCATTAGTATGTGTGGTTCTAACACTGTTGCTCTGTGCTCTTCAGTTGTTCTTTCCTGATGATCTCCTAGAGGATTAAAGAGCTCATTGAAGTATTCCCTCCATCTTTCTGCAATCTCGGGTGGATCTATCAATGGCCTTCCTGTCTTATCATTAATTATTTCAGTGGGGTTGTAGCTCTCATCTCTTTTCCGCATATTTTTAACCAGTTTGAAAAATTTTCTGCTGGCTGTTTTCTCATTTTCTGCTAGTGACTCACCGAAACGTTCCCAGGATGCTTGTTTTGCTTTCTTAACACTCCTGTTGGTTTCTTTCCTTTGCAGTCTATAGTTTATATAATCTTCTTCTTTCTTTGATTTTATCCACTGTTTATATAAGTCTTTTTTCTTTTTAATTGCTTCTTTTACTTCTTCGCACCACCAAGGTGAATATTTGTTATTTCCCCTCTGTTTCCACTCTTCCGTTTTCCACATAATTCTTCTGCAATACTAAGTATAGTGTTTTTATATATACTCCATTCTTCCTCAATATTGCCAACTACATGTGGAAGTTGTTTGAATGCTGTCTCTACTTTCTGTTGTAACTGTTCTTTTACTCCTTCCTGTTTCAGATTTGCTATCTTGATGAGATCCTTGTTTTTGTTTAATTTCTGTCTGTGTTTCTTTAATGTAAGATGTTTTGCTGTTAACACAACTATTTTATGGTCAGTGTCACATAGACCATTAGGGATTGCTCTTGAATCAAGAATTCTCCTTCTTCCTTGAACTCTGGTAAGTATAAAAGGGAGGCATCTCTGGTAAGTATAAAAGGGAGGCATCAGTCAAGAATATTACCATGACTACTTACAGTTTTAGAAAAAGATACACCATGCTATGCCATGCTGCTGAATCAACAACACCTATTTCTTTTTACTATCTCAACTAACTCTTTCCGCACCAACCAATGTTCAGCGTGTGATCAACTATAGCTAGTTTGCATCAAACAATGAACAATGTGTAATTATTTATTTTACTGTTGGTTTCAGCATGCTAAAGAAATCTGGCTAGAAATGCTAACATTCAGCACAGCATATGTTTTCTCTTTGAAAGTCATGTATTCATGCTCTTTTCATTGTGTCTATTATCTCCTTCAGTATTTAAAACAATACTGGTACTAAAAAAAAAAGAAAAGTTTAAAAACTGTTTACCTGGAAGCCTTGTGAAGGTCATCCTGCATCTCATCCACAAACTCCAAGGCATGCTTATCTTTTGCCTCTGTTTCTTCGACCAGAACATGCAGAAGGGACATTTTGGGGTCGTTTGACTTGGTCAGAACCAGCTTGTTAAGTGAACTTATTCTAAATCCAACAGCATCTCCAACATTGCTGCCCTGTTTAAAATTAATAAGAACCAAATGTTGAATGTTGAATTAAGAATTGACATCACAGCACGAGGGACACTCCCATAAGTGCTCAGTCCCCATCTTCAGCAGCAAGCGATGAATTCCAATTCCGATAGTACAAATAACCGTCTGAATCTATATCCGTCTCATCCTTTTCCTGAGAGTTGAGCATTAGCCAGATCCCCTGGTAACTCCTCGCAGCGCCATTCTCTTTAGACCGTAATGATCCATCTGCGCCTCTGCATTGTTTACTCACTTCCAAAGGGCCCTCACAATATCTAACTTGTCATACATCAATTCATGACCAGGTGATGCAGAGCCAGCCAGTCTATTTGCCTGCTTATTTCCCAACACATGGGCATAACCTGGAGAAAATATCCAAAGGATGCTAACTACCTGAGACCTCTAAAGTGATGCTTGCCACTCTGCACGGAGCATGCCTATTTTTACCTTTCTCAACATGCTCTGTGAGTCAGTTACAATCATGGCATGTGTGTACAGCTGATTCTCAAGCCAGTGGAAGGCCGCAGAGACTGCCTCCACCTCCATTCTTAAACTAGACATTGTGAAATCATAAGCAGGGCTTTGCAGCACTTGGTGACGTCCATCTGCCTTTGCTATGAAACCCTATACACTTCGTCTGCCCCCCAACACACAGCCATCTGTATAGATAATCGCAACCTTAGTAATAAGAACCAGAGAAAGGAAACAAATGTTGTTACTTCATGATTTTCAGCGGTTCTTTGGAGACTAGAAATGAAAACAATCCCTGAAGGAAAGAGTTAGATATGGCCAGAAATGTGTTTGTTGTTGTGATTCCTACATTACCCTTAAAAAAATTGTTGGCCTTTTGTGTTGTGGTTTACAGCTAGGTTGTGGTATCTGGACCTTATAATTTACTTTTTAGTGGACAGTGTTTTTTTCCTTTTCCCAACCTCTCCTCCTAAATGGTGCCATAGACCCAGACAGGGAGTATGTTTCAATGACATAGAACTTTGTCCACAGTAACTTAGCTAATGGTAGGATGTCTAGAGGTGGAGAAGAGAGAGGAACCAGGCAAAGATGCATTTAAATGTCACTGCCTGAGTTTAGTGCTTGGTGCAGCCCTGTGAGCTGTGTTTTTTATGTAGAATGCTTTTCACTTGTGCAGCGGTTGAGTCCTATTCAATATGGCAGGTAGCTAGTTAACATGTGGGCTGGTGAAATACCTTAATAATTCTATGTAGTATAGCCAACTTATTGTGCCCTAGTACTTGCATCAACGACAAACTGCATTTCTTGTGATGACTTGGTTTTGGCGCCTTTAGCAACTGCCTTATGCATTTACTGCATGCACATATTTTCGGATTGTGCCAGGACTAATTGTTAGTTCACCAGTTTTTCAAATCTGACAATGAGAGACATTTCATTTTTTTTGGGCACAGGAATGGAGCAAGTATAGAGTGACTCGACTGCAGTGAAGTTGAAACCTTGGCTAAGACTAAGACTAAAGCATATAAATTGTTGCCTTGTAGGCAGACTGGGGGTAGGTTTCATCTTCTTCATGATCCTCTAAACTCTGGCAAAAAGTTACAACTGCTCGTCCACCTCCAGACTTTGACCTTGTTCAAGAACTTAAGTTGTATGTGCACCTGTTTTAAAGACCTGGCTTATTTGTATGCAGAATGTTGGTTCCTCGCCTCTCAGGCAGACGCACTCCAACTTTGCAGAAAACACTCCTAATTAGTCACATTTTTATTGCGGGGTGGGGTCATTGGGTCTATCTCCCTCCCCCTTAAGCCCACTCAGGGCCCCCCCTACCTAAATGGGGCTCCAGTGACCATACAGGGATGCAGCCAGTCAAACGGCAGGGGGAAGAAAACATGAACCAGTGATTTGTCAAAATCAAGCCATACGCCTCACACAACATTGTAAATAACTTATGTCGTGATGTCAATAAGCTGTCAAAGCTAAAGTGAAAAAGGTTAGACTTTATTGCATCACGTATAATCCATATAGTTCGGGCTATCTCTCTTTGGAACAGCTAGCTATTTGCCGAGAATGTTGCACAAAGTACAAACTCCGTAGCTTTGCCGGCAATCCCAGGAAGTTCCTCGTAAAAACTGCACCTGTAAACCAAACAACGCATATGTGAAACAAACCCATGACCTTCAGAGGCAAATGGCTTAACAACTATACCATGGAGACCCGCATGATAAGTAAAGTTATGTAAGTAAAATTAAGGACCCTTCGGCATATAGTCCTAGGTTATGTAGTCAACATCGTGCCGGTTGCCTTTTATTTCCTAGGACATTACCTGGCACCCATTTTAGACTGGGTTTAATCTGGGAGCCAAGATCAGTTTTGTAATTTTTTTTTTTTAATTCGCCTTGAAGAGGATTTCCACATGATGATGATGACCTGTCAAAGGCTAAAACACACAGCTTACTAACCTTATTGATGAAATTCCCAGCATGCAGCACTAGACGCAAGAACGTTTTCAGTCCCTTGTTGTCATAGAGACCGCGACAGATGCTAGTCAGCAGCAATAAATTTGATCTCACATTGGAGAGCTGGCTTTGGAAATCAGACTGAAACAAGTAGAACAAAAATTTGTTAACCTTTCCAGTGCCAGGTAACCCGGAGTGTGTGATGGCCTATTTCTTCAGAATCCCAACTTGTGGTCTGCGGTCTGCTCCTACTGGTCCCCAAAGGCACAGCCCATGATAAGTGGCAGACTCAATGTACAGAAGTGTTGTGGTGTGTCTGTAAGTGTGTGAATGCCAGCGTATGTTCTGTCATTTTGTGTTGTGCCAGTGTCTGAGTGTGTTTTGTATCTGTGCATATGTATTGTGTCTGTATGTATATGTTGTGTCTGTGTGTTTTTTGTTTCTGTGTACGTGTCTGTATATTGTGTGTATCTGTTGTGTTTATGCATTGTGTTTGTGGTATGTATAGGTGTTGTGTCTGTGTGTATATGTTGTCAGTGCATATGTGTTGTGTGTATGCTGTGGCTGTGTGTGTTGTCAGTGTGTGTGCACCTCTGTGTGTGTAAGTGTGTTTATGTATGTGTATTGTTGTCTGTACAGCTGCCTTTCTGTGTGCTGCGCTGTGTGTATACTTTTTGCATCTATATATGAAGGTGTCAGCTCTGTGACTAAGTTGAAGTGAACGCTTCGTAATGCCGGGATGGCAGGTTCAATCCCAGCTGCGGGCCATGCACCTTGAGTTGATTTTGACAGTAGTATCAAGAAAGCCAACCGCCCAGAAAGCAATGGCAAACTACTGGACATAAATTTGCATATAAAAACTACACAACAGCCAGGGGCTGTTGGGGTTGGTTCTGCAACGTCCTGTAAAGGATATGCAACTAACCTTATATATGAAGGTATGCATCTGCTATTCATGCTTTTGTATTTTTTAACCTTACATTCATACTTTGAATTTTGATACATAAAAATAATATGATGATATAAAAAAATAAAACTGCTGTGTGAAACATGAATGTTAGAAAGGACTGAAAGGACCAAATTTGATATGGGAACCTGTGTGCCCAATTTGTAACCCTTTGGAAATAAAATTTGGTTGTTCATTCATTTGGAGTGCAGTTAAGCAGGCATGTGTGTGGCATAATGAATCCTTGGGTGAGCCTAGAACTAGAACACCATGTATTCCGGTTCTGCATTTATGGAAGCCTCCTTGGATGGTGGATAATGCCCCTGGCATATGCCCACGCCTTCCCTCCAAAGCTGACCAAGACGCACATAGTTGCCCTAAATAGGTCCGCTGGGGTGCACCACTTGTAGAACAGATGACAACAACAGTATAGCTGTGCAAAATCCCAAAACAAAAACTAACTGAGAAGGCCAATCCGGATAAAGAGTGCCCAAAGATGTTGGATGTGTCAAAAGAATGGTGCAAACATCACAGCTATGCTGTAAACAGGCAAAAGCAATTATGTCATTTGGATAAAAAAAAATTATGAAGAAGAAGAAGAATCCCATCCATTCTGTAGTGTACTAATATAATTTTTCCATTTAGCCTGAGTATACTAAAAAATCTGGCCAGATGTATACAACCTCCCTGTGGGGGTGACATCAACAAGCTTGTCATAAAAGACGACTAATTAAGGGTGTGCTTGGCCAAGAGGTGCAAATATCAGAGCCTAGCTGTAAGTCACAACACAACATGCCAACTACCCTTTTAAGGGCAAACGTAGAAGAAGACAACACAATCAGAAGGATGCCAGCTGGTGTGCTTCTGGAGCAAAAAAGGAAAGCAAACAACTAACAATGTAATCTATTATGCGAGAGGCAACTAAGGAGGACTGGTTTCAGACTAACATATCCCACAGAAAATTTCAGTTGCAAAATCTCCAACAAGTCTTGAAAAAGCCTATAAGAAACTTTAAGTTGCCTGAGGGTCTATGATCCAATGGGAGCTGAAGGAAAGTGTTGGTGTGAATATACTATTTATAATATGTTGTTTTTTGGAAATAAATATTTTTCAATATCTAAATAAGTAAAATAAAGTTACAGTAAAAGTCCCATTTTCTCACGCCTCTAGGCATATAGGGTTATACCTATATTTTTATAGACCAATCAGCTCAAGATGGGTGATGTGGTCAGCATCACGCCGGCCGGCTTTACTGCACCCGGTACTCACTCAAGGGTGGGTTGACCTGGGAGTCAAGATCATTTTTGAAAAAAGTCTGGCCCCCGCCAGGGAGCAAACCCACGACCTTCCGATCTGTACGCGAGCGCCTAGCCACCATGCCAAGGCAACTCCCCAATTTCTGAACAGCAGTATAATAAAGGACCCTTGTTATGCTAGCAGCGCATCAGGCATATGATGCCAGATTACTACTTTTATAGACCAGTTGTGCACTCGTTGGGTAGTGTGATGGGGTCAACATTATCTGGTCACATTAACTACCCAAGACATTGCCTGGTACCCATTGTTGGCTGAGTCGACTCAGAAGTCAAGGCCAATTCTGAAAAACAAAGATCCATCTGGTGTGGACTCAAACACAAGATGTTCAGGCCAATGGACAAGCATCTAGCCACTAAGCTTCATCTTAAAAATGCTACCAGTTGATGTATAAGTGAACTTTCTTTTAGGCATGCTGTTTCCATTTTCCTGTCTCTTCTATGCAGACAAAGTGCCGGTGAGTTCATAGCAAAAGTGAATGAACATTACCTAGTATGAAAAGCCTGGCATATTATACCACAGCATCTAGTTTGAGAATGGAGGTGGAGACAGTGATTGTTGCCTTCCACTGGCTTGAGAATCAGCTGTAGTGCACTTGCCCAGCATTTACTAATCAGTCTTAAGGTCTAAGGTTCAAATCTGCATTGAGGTGGATTTTTATAATTAGCCGAAGTTTCCCATGTCACCCCAGCCTAAAGAAGGTATCAGGAAGTGTCCCGGGAAGTAAAGGCAGCCAGCATCATGTTGGCCACGCCAACCATTTAGTGTCTACTTCAGCAAAATATACTACTAGTAGCAAAATATATGCCTAATATATCAGTGATGTAAAAAAGAACTCATTTATCCCCCATGATGTCTAAAAGAGCTAAAGACTGAGTCAACACATTTAGTTTGATTACCTTCAGCAGCATGAGCTCAAGCCGAAGCTGGTAATTGGGAAGTGACAACAACTTTAGGAAGAAATTCTCAGCATTGCCAAGTTTCTCAGGATCTCCATCATAGTTCTGAATTAGCTCAATCTGTGGATGTAAGAGTACCAAAGATACATTTCTGCCAACAAAATGACAATTACTAACTGTATTTATCACTCCTGTGGTGAAGGCATTTTTGTTTTTCAGCCTTTGATCCCTTGGACTGCCAAAGTAACTAACGAGGATAGCTTGAAGGAAGCTACTGAAAGCAGATCAATATATACAGCTATAAGGAAAAGACAAGTACTGTTTTTTGGTTATAAGGGGGAAGGCTTTGGAGAATACTGTATTGAATGGGAAGATCAACAGTAGAAGAGGGAGAGGCAATCAATAGAGATGATGACAGATGGATTGCTACGGTGGCATGAAGGAATATCATTGGTGAAAATGATCCAGAAGACAAGGGACTGAGATCTGAGGAGATGCACAGTCTGCAAGGCACATGATGAAGATGAGCCTGAGGATTTAGGATTGCATGGCTAGTGCAGTCGCCACAGGCTGTGCAGATTAGGATTCTGTTTCTTCTTATCCGAAGTAAATTTTTAAATTTGAGATTCTTTTTCTTCTTCTTCTTTCATTCGCTTGAAATAGATTATCTATATCTGCAGTGTTGTGTCTAGTATGAACTTCACTGTCTTTTGTAATTCACTTAGCAGCCTGTAAAGTTTGACTTGCACTGATGTTTCTTTTGTCCAAAAGTTTTGCCTTGATATGTTGTGTTTGGGACAGTCTTGGAGGACATGATCTGTTGTCTCAGGTGCCAATCCACATGTGCACATGGCTGATTCACCAATTTTAAATTTTATGTACATGTGGCTGTGAAGTTGATTGTGTCCAGTTCTGAGGCATAGAATAATAACTTGCTCTGGTTTGTCCATAAAATGGTAATCATCTTGTGCCAGTTTTGGTGGATTTCTGAAAGCTTTGATTATTCTTTTCTTTTGTTGATAAGAGACTACTATTTGAGATTAAAAAGCAGACACTGACTTCCAGGCCTGGCAAAAATGATGCAAAATTTTAGTAAAACACCCCTATCCCTATTTACAGAAAAGGATCAGTGGTCTAACAGAGGATTCAAACTTGGGTCACCCTAGGAGAGCCCAGCGTTCTTAACCATTTGGCCAGCTGCTCCTTGTGACTCAATGTCTGAATGAAATATAGTCCTATAGCAGATTCTGCCATTATGTTGTGAAGTGTTACATATAAAGATATCAGCATCATAATCATCATAGTCCAATAACACATAACTAAATACAGCCTTTAGAGGGGTTTTCTTATGATCCAATTTCCTAGGAATTTCCACAGGTTGCTGTGCACATTTAAGGGCCCTAAGTTTGGTACTCTGGATATTCTGGAAATTAGTTTAGTTTAGTTTATTCAACAGATCAACATCCTGGCACACTGGACAAACCCCATAAGTGCTCCGTTCTTCTTTTAACTCAAGCCTGTCTGAAGAGTCTCAGCACAGTGCACAAACTCTATTGCACTGGTGAGGGTCCTAATATACTTTTTGGGTAGATTTTCAACCCTAAATTTTGCCCGGGCAGGGCCGTTAGGCAACTCTTTTAGATTTCCAACTGCCAAGGGATTTTTTAACATGTGCAACATTACGCACAGGCATCCTTTCTTACTACCCACAGACTAGGAGAAATTACTAGAAGTCCACGTGAAAAAATCCCAGCCTTCACCTGGGTTTGAACCCAGGACCTCCAGCACTCGAGGCGGATGCCATACCTCGAAACCACACAGGCCCCATTTTCTGGGAATGAAGGGTGGCCCATGTGAGTGCATGACCCACTGAGTGCTGACTGGTCTATACACTTTGGGGCTGGCACAATATACCCACGTGTGCCTGATGACATGGAAAGGGATGATGTGTCGGTAGTAATTTGTTTACATTTGGTCATAACAAAGAAAAAAAGAAATTTAGCTTTTTCAGTGATCACCGCCACTATGTACTTCGCGTATCAGAAAATATGACTGAACTATGTTTGTCTGTCAGTAAAACAGTTTATGGGTTCAAATCCACATTTTCCCTGTGTGGGTTCTGGGACCCCATTGTGGGATTAAAAAAAAGGATAAATCCCCTAGTCCTTTACCAGCATGTCACGCATGTCAACTAATTAAGGGTGTTTCATTCAAGCTGTAGTGCAGCTGCCTGAGAGGCGAGGAACTAACAGTTGGAATATAAATAAGCCAGGCCTTTAAAATGGATTTGCATGTAAAACTCAGATTCTGGAGCAAGACTAAAGTCCAGAAGTGGACAAAGAAGCAGAACTTTCCACTGGGGTTTACAGCCGGGGAACACTAAAAAGAAAAAGAAAAAGAATAAATTCACATTAAAGAAGTATTTTATATTTATCTTGGCTCCCAGGTCAACAGGAAATGTCCTAAGAAGTAAAAGTTGATGATAAGATAATCACATGACCAATCAAGTGCCCACTGGTATATACATATGAGTATAGCGCCCCCTACCTGCCGCACCACTGCCATGATAAGACAACTGCCTCATTCAATGACATTTTCGGAACAGCCAAACAATTATGTATGTATGTAAGTTGTAGCCCACCAGTACATCACACAAGCAATAAATACCCGGTGACACAAAATGCCACCATGCGGATGAGGATCACCCGTGGAGAGGGCCCAGAAACCCCTTTCAGCCATTTAGGCAATATCTACGGCTAAGCCATATCAATGCCCCGGCTATTTTCAGGGCCCCCCGGAAAAAGCTAGGGTGAGGCTTGAAAATAACAAAAATGGCATCCCACGAGGGGACGACTTGATACAAGACAAAACAATTACCGTATTTTTCTTTGTATTAGACATATTTACCTAAATTTTGTAAGTTTACAACTGGGAATGTTCTTATACAAAGAGTGCATTTAAAATATGTATTTCTTAACTCTGTGCTTCCAAAAAAAATGGGGGGGGGGGCGGGCCTACCTTACACATGGGGGCATATTATACATGGACAAATATGGCATGCAGTGAGCAATTACACAAAGAAAGAGATATAAAGTCTTCTGCTTTACCTCATCCAGTTGGGGCAGTAATTTAATTAGCCCTTTTAACTTCTCCACTCCAAAGCTGCGTCCTTCACCTTTTTTGATTAGATCAACAATTGCTTCATTGCTTTTCCTGAACTGCTTCAGGTAGATGTTGATGTTCATGCTGCGCTTGGGGTCCAGTAGGCTGATCTGTGCAACGATAAATTGGATTATTTATTGACTCGGGCAATGACACAAGGGCCATAACTCCTAAAATGGATTTAGGAAACAAGGAAATCTAAGAGAGGTTCACTGTGAATGAAAAGATAATTACAGAAAAAAATAAAAAGACAAATATATTGGCCACATTAAAAAACATAATATGCTTTTAAAACTCAGACTTAAGGAAAAGGTTAAGGGCAGGAGAGCAAGACAGCGATACAATTGGGAGGACAACATCATGAGATGGACAAACAGCAGTCTGAGAGAGTGTGCAACCAAAACAAGAGAGAGAGCATGCTGGAGGTAGAATGAAACCAACCCTCATTGCGGAGGCGGTACCTGATTGATTGACTGAAGATAAATTTAAGTCAAACGTTGCTGGGAGAAACCAAAAATGCTGGACTGGATTCCATCCAGGATATTAAAAAGATTGTGCAGAACAAGAAGGAATGGTGAGTAAAAATAAAAGGCATGTTTCCTTGTGGCATTCTGAGTAGTCACTGTAGCCCCATATATTTTAAGGATCAGTAGGCACCTGATGAAGATGTTGCCACTGTCACCTGTTTTTCACATTCACTGGCTGTAAAACTCTGGTTAAAATGTCTGGTTATTCATCGACTACTGGACTTTTAGTCTTGTTCCTGAACCTCTGTTTTACATGCACATCAGTTTTACAGATCTTGCTTATGTGTATGTAGACTGCTGATTCCTTGCTTCTCAGGCAGAGATGCATTCTCATTTAGTGGGAAAACCCCTAATTATTATACTCTTACAGCATGCTTGTTGGGGACCGCGGGTGAATTCTCTTCCCTCTCCCCCCACCACTATTTTACTGGCTACCTTTAGTTCCCAAGAAGTGCCGGTGTTAATTTAAATTTAATATCAGGTGAACCCTTAGGTGCAGTCCACTTACTGAAACATTCCTGCAAAAGTCTATATTAGATTAAATAACATCAGACTCGCAGGGAGTAGGACAGGTGAGTAGTGTACAACTACAACAATAATAGTTATAAATTATATTGCCTCCCCCCCCCCCCCCACACACACACACACAGATCAGCTACGTGGCTATTAAATTAGCCTTACATCTTCATTGCAAATGTGTCACCCCCACAATCGCTCTGATCCATTGCCAGGGAAATGCACATGAAATGCCCATTAATGTCCCACGTGAAAAGCCAAACAGACAGTAGTAACAGTTTAACCAACAATATCCTGGCAACCAATTTAGCTTATTATCTGAATATTTAAAGATTTTTCAATTCCAATATTTCAAAGCATTCCGAATCAATCTGTTGACTGGATGTCCCCTCTGGACTGCTACCTGAAGAGTTACCACCTTGAGATTTAAAAACAAATCTCATTCTGGAGTGCAGACCAACAGGGCAGGTCCCAATTACCCTGTTCAACTTCCAGATAAGTTATTAGTAGGGCATTCGTAACCGCTACACTAGCCTGGTTTAACCTGTAGTCATGCATGGGATAAAGATGACCACTGTGAAGTGTTAGGCTGGAATATACATACCTAGCCCTAGCTTTTGTTTTACAGTGCCACATGGAATGAGCTGACCAACTCCCTTCTTCGCTGTTTAGCATTACCATACGCACATATTTACAGCGACAACTGTGGTGTTAAATTATCACCTATAACTGCCTTTTCCCTCACCCACTAACGCTTTCTTTATCATCACCTATAATGCCCAGGGGCATCAGAACAGGGAGACAGGCTACTACAAAACTGAGCCCCCCCCCCCCCCCCCCCCCCCCCCCCGCACCTCCACCACACACAAAAAAAATACGTTACCTCCAAACCATGTACCGAAGTTATCTTGTTTTTGTGTATGTTTGTTCATACATGTCATATTATTTCAAATATATTTGTATTATCTTTTGCCATTATGCAGATTACTACTATTACTCTATTTTTATTAATTGTACCTAATCTACTTCTTATGTCACCATGTCTTTTCTGTTTCTTCCAGCTATGTTTCCACTTTTTTTGTGTGTCTCTCTCAATCACTGTGTTGAGTTTTTTTCTCTTGGCATTTTCCCAGGTATTTCAGCATTAGTTTCTAACATTTCCCCCAGTTTGACAATCACAATTATTCTTCCTCTTCTTCTTCTCTTAAACAGGCAGGTGACTGAATTGTAGTTTACAGCTAGGCTGCTATGTCTGCATCTTTCAGCTCAACACATCCCATTTCAGCAAAATCTTAGTCATCTGCTTTTTATAACAACATGTTAAGGAGCAATCGGTCCCCCCCCCCCCCCCCCCCCCCCCCCCCCCCCCCCCTCATATTGGGGCCACATGTCTTTTAGATACTTTTATACTAAGCAGTGTTTAAGTTATCAAAGCTGATAAGTCAATGCACAGCAGCCTCACAGCAATGCATGAAAGAATATGTAGCGCTTAAAGAAACCTGTGCCAAGCAACACACATTTAAAGCACAAAGCAGCTTTGTTACAATAATAATAATATTAATAATAATAATTATGATAACGGAAATGCATTTAGGCAGTAGAGATAGGTATATAGATCCCTGAAATTGTAGAAAGCCCATCAAGTGTACTATTTAATTTATATAGTGTATGTAGTGTGGGTGGTTTGTGTGTGTGTTTGTGTTAGTGTGTGTAGCATGTGTATGGTGTGAGGGGTGTGCTTCTGTGTGTATGAAGTGTGCATGTATGTGATGTGTATGTGTACAGGCATGTTTGGTGTGGTGTGTATATGTGTATGTGTGTATGTGTGGTGTGGTGTGATGTGTATATGAGTAGGTGTGGTGTGGTTTGTATGTGTTAAGATGTGGTGTGGTGTGTATGTGTGTAGGTGTGTTGTGGTGCATATGTGTGAGTGGTGTGGTATGATGTGAGAATAGGTCAGTTTGTGCAACCCTCTCCCCCTTTCCGCCTGGAATAATCAAACCATGATGCAGTTAAATTCCCAAATAATGGCAGATCTAATTCCAACCAGAGTGTTATTGTGGTAATTTAAACCTCCGTGTTATTCTTGCATTTTCTAGAAGGAAGAGCTTCAGACGAGAGGAATGACCATCAGTATCTCCAAAACCAAAACCATGGTGATCTCAGAAAAGGAGAAGAAACACCAGATCATGACGGGACCGTATGCATTGGAGCAGGTTAACCAGTTCAAATACCTTTGAGTTGTAACAGACTGAAATGGAGACATTAAGACAGAGCTGGCTACATGAAAAAGCAGCTGCTGGGAGACTTCTCCAGGCCATAAACTGAAGGTTTCTGAGAAACTGGCAAAAGGACAAAAATGGCTGTTTACCGCTCTACCTAAGTGCCAGTCTTGACCTGAGAGTGTGAGTCATGGGCAATAACAACAGCTCACAGAAGCCAGCTTCAGGAGAAATATCTGAGAAAAGTGGTCCAGGTAACAAGAAGGGACAAAGTCCGCAAATAGACAATATGTTGAGATCTTGAAACCCAGACCTTACAAACTCGAGTGGATGAGTCACAGTTATGATTGTTTGGACAGAAATTTAGAATGGGAGAACATCGGCCACTATGGCAGGCATAGGAGGTTGAGAACCAGGGAACCAGACCACCAGGATGACTCAGGGTCCGCTTGGAAGACAACATCCGACAGATGGCATAATTTTTCTTCTGCGTTGCCAGCTGCAAACTCCAGCTGAAAGCCCTGGTTGATCATCCCTGTTTGGCCTTCAGTCTTGTTCCAGGTCTTGCGTGTTATATCCACATCCACCTTACAGATCTGGCTCAGCTCTGCAGTGTGCTGGTTCCTCGCCTCTCAGGAAGATGCACTTTGAATTCAAACACTGATCCTATTATCTTATTATTTACAATAACCAAGGCTCCCCCATAGGGAACCTGTTTCTAGGACAACAGTGGAAAGGTGTAGATAACTCTTGACCAGTATGTGTAATCTTCTTCTTCGCATTTACTGGCTATAAACTTCAGTGGAAAGTTCTAGTTGTTCATCCACTTGTGGACTTTAATCTTGTTTCACAACCCAAGTATTACATGCACATCCGTTTCACAAATCAGACTTAACTGTATGCAGATTGTTGGTTCCTTGCTTCTCAGGCAGATGCACTCTGACTTCAAAAGAAGCCCCCAACTAGTCAACTCTTACTACATGCTTGTTGAAGAAGTAGTGGGTCTATTCTTAATCACAACATGGTAGTAATGAGAGTTACTATTTTGCCAACTTCTATGCCAGTAATCTATACTATAAATGAAAAATTGTTTCTGTATTTCATGTGTTCATTTTAAATGAAGTGGTAGCTCCCCCAAACAGTGATTATTACACGGGTTAAACTTTCAATAGCCATTATGACTACAATCTTTAATTTAATAGTCACACTGGTGTTAAGTTTTATGTGCATTTCTTTTAATTATTGCAACAAATAATAAAAGTAAACACATTGGTGGTAAGTTTTATGTGCATTTCTTTTAATTATTGCAACAATCAATAAAAGTAAACTTTCACTGGAGTTATATTGCTTTGAGTTTTTAAAAATTTAGGTCCCTTGACAAGATAATTTTAAAAAAATATATTTCCCTGTTATCTTTCTTGAAACCACATATCTGAGAAATGTTTTCAGATAAGTTTTGTCTCTCTCCCAAACTGTTAAATACTGGATTTTAGTTAGACTCCTATTTCAAGCAGGCTTACATACAGGGCAGCAGTGGAGACCAAGATGAGGTAGAGGACGGGAGAACAGGACTTTCTTTCACTATCCTGGATAAAGCCAGGTAATTAAATATAGTCATAACTATAAAAACTGCTGTAATTATAGCGACTATTCTGCTAACTTTAATAAATAATTAATACTGTGAAAAACCGATGTGCAAATAACCACAACTCTGATTACTTCTTTGCCAGTAGTCACTATTATAAAAACTGTGGAGTAATTAATCACTATTCTGCTAACTGCTATGCAAATAATCACTATTATACAAACCACTGAACTACTAACTACAATTACATTTACCATTTT